CTACTAGTACTACTAGTACTAGACTACTAGTACTACTAGTACTACTAGTAGTAGTAGTAGTAGTACTACTACTACTACTACTGCTACCACCACTCCTCCTACTCTTACCCCTACTCCTAGATTCTCTTGCTCCTACTACTCCTGCCACTGCTACTGCTTGCTGCTGCCACTGCCAATGCCACTACCGCTGCCACTACCACTAGCACTACCGACGACGACTGCGACCATCATCACTAGCACGGCTACTGCTACTATAACTTACTACGAAGAATTACTATTACGATTCGTATTCCCATTACCATAGCTATTGCTGTTATCACAAGTACAATAACTTCTACCATTACCCTTACCATTACTAGTACCATTACAACTTAATTACAACTACTGCAGCTGCATTGGCCGAAAAATCCAGGTTTAGGGGGTCTCACGACGTGGATCTCGCGAAAAATGTGCGGAAGATCCGCGGAAGCTCAACGTGCAAATCCTTGCCCCATCGTAGTTTGTCATGATTCAACACGCATCCTAAACCTCAACCGCTAAGCCCCCCTGAGGTGTCTTGCACCGCGAGCCCTGCTAGCTCTACCAGACTCTAGCAAGCTCCTCTATACTGAAAACAAGTACCAGAAAGCCATCTAGCTATCTTCCCTCGGTGTGCATCTGACACATGATTTCTGTGTTTGAAGTGGGGAATGTATGGAATTCGTGTCGTTGTGGGCAGACTGGAATTGAGACTTAAATGCGAGGGAGGCGAGCTGGGTTCGGTGCGCCGCTGCAAAGCCCATCGTTAGTTCCAGCTATTCTTCGCTTCAGCTTTTGCTGTATTTTCTCACTTAAAAGAAAGAAACCTATCTGTGCAAAAGCCCTCGAGCACAGAAGAGCGCGGAAGCCCGAGCGGAAGGGATCTCTTGCGTTGTGCATGGTCATCAACTGTTCTGCAGGCCGTTTATGTACACAAGCATGTGAGCAACAGGCAGGCACCTGTTGAGCTAATATGAGCAAATGCCACAGGAGACGTTCAGTAACATGGGCTTCGGTGGAAAAGCAGGTTTCCGGCATTTGGACCACCAGGTGAAAATCCAAGTAGAAGCCCAGGAAAAGCAAGCACATCAACAACACACAAAGCAACGGCAAGCACTGTGCGACTGGACGAGGAGTTATTTGCTTCTTGTGAGGTTCGGTGTGTCTCTATCTCTTGGCGCTCGGATCAAAGGAGCTTGAAATTAACGTTGTCAATTTTTCAGTTTTTCGGTTGTCGCTTGATTTCATCTTGAAGGGAAATTGTGACTGACCAGCTAAGCGCACAAAAACACCTAAGCGCCTAAATTGAAGCATGAAGCAGTCCAGCTCCTAAAATGCACCCAAGCGCCCTGCCAGCTCCTAAAGGCTGAGTGTTCCCAGCAATACAAGTGCCTAAGTGCCCGGAAAGCACCCGAACACCTACTAGTGGACTCTATAAAAGTACTTCAGTGCGTGGAAGCACCTAGAACCCTCCGAAAGGGCCTATGCGTAGACTTGTAGGGGCCTCCGAGACCTGTATGCCTAGAGGCCTTGAGGCTTGGAAGCGCGTGCCAGGTTTAGGACTTGGCAACAACCGGCTTAGAGAAGAGCCCCTAAGTGGCCGCAAAGCACCTTAGCGCGTTGAATCGCCTGCAAGTGCCTAGGGGCCTGACAGCACCTATCAAGCACACAGGTTGGGGGTATCCAAACGCCGGGCAGCACCTAAGCGCAGAAATGAAACAAAGTGGCTTATACTGCTTAGATATTGCAGAGGGGTGTCGGGAGATTTTCCACATGCGAAGATTCGGGGGCTGAGAAGCCCAGGAGCATCAGTGTCGCGGCCCACCTTGGGATGAATAGGAGCTTCGAGTCGGCTTAGAGGCTGAAGCGCACCAAACTCGACCTTCCTCTACTGTCGAAATGCTCATCCTCGCATCTCGAACATGCCAACCTGCAGCATCCCGTTTGCGTATCCTCTGGTCGCACCATGTATCTAGGGCTCTGGTGGCGCACAGACTGGAGCATCCCAATCTTCCAAGACAAGGTGAACTTGCACGCAATCTCTAAGGTTGAGGTTGAAGGTGTTGATGGTTTGAGGTCGCAAAGCGCTCACCACTGGCCCAACTCTGAAATGTCAAGCCAAGGAGACCTCGGATGCCGGGTTTTGACAGTTTTTCGAAGTGCCGATGCTGACATCTTGTATGTTCGCAAAAAAGTAATCGAGTGAAAGTCAATTCTCATTTTGGAGTGTTTTGGAGGCCCGGAAATGCTGAAGATGCCCAAATGCCTCAAGGGCCTAAAGGGCCTAGAGTCAGAAGTCAGATTTTCCGACTGCTCTCAAATCGCCGTGCTAGGTGCAGGCATTGGGGGGTATATCTTGCCGGCAGACCGGTTAAAATAGAGACTTCTGAGTATGCATGCCGGAGGAAGGCCTCCACATGGACCCAAACAAAAGACCACTTCGGAAATCCGGGAACCCTTCTCACCAGCCCGGTCCCATGGCTGCTAACTAGCCGCTTTGTGCCACTAGTCCAAGATGTCCAAGTGAAACTCCGACATACAATACGCCTCTCCGCTCGTCCCAGACACCCTTTGTGCAACGAGGCTACCTGGGCTGCTCGAGAGCTTTGGGCGATTTCCGGTTCAAGGCCAAGGGGAACATGCGACATCGCTGCATCGATTTCTTCTCGGTGAAGCTCTGGTCCAGGAGGATGCTGCCCTTTTGCCGGAGCAGCAAAAGGCCAGGCCGCCATGCCTCTCGTCTCCGAGAAGTCCTGCCTGTTGGAGCCGGTGAGGTCTCGGCCGTGCCCGAGGTCTACGCCTCCCGGTTGCAATCGGAACCTGTGCGCTTTTTCGCCGAAAACCCCTCAAGGTTTGGGTTCTCCTTTAGGTTTTCCAACCGACGCGTCCGCCGGGGTGCGAGGCGGGGCGTGATGGGAGGGGTTCCAGCGGGCGGGTCGTGATACAGCGTGCGGCACGGAGCGAGTGCGTGCGTGCGGCGCGGCGTGCGGACGTGGCTTCATTGGGCGATGCTGGGCCGGGTCGCGATACGGGGTGCGGCGCAGGCCCGGGCCTGGGTGGGATTCCACTGGGCAGGTCGCGATGCGTGGTACGGCCAGCGGTACCGGCGGATCGCGATACGTGGAACGCCGCGGTGTGTGGGCACGAAAACCGGTGCGGGGCTTCACTGGTGGGGGAGCGGGCCAGGGCACACACACACACACTTGGAAGGAAATCGCTCGTGTTACTACTCCTTCGAGATTTGCTTTGGGGATGGTTTTTGGGTTCCTGGGTTGACCTTGTTTTCTTCGGCCTTCCGCTTGCGTCAGGAGTTCGAGTGCCAAAGTGGGGACGTCATTGTCTTGGGATGCGATGGAGTCTTCGATGTGCTGAGCAGCAGCAAGGCTCATTCCTTGTCACTGTGCCAGCTGCGAAGTCTTGCTGTGTCGCCGTCGCAGCCCTTCCAGGCGGCCTCGTCCCTGAGCAGCAGGAAGCAGGATCAGTTATGTCCAGTTCAAGGCTCCGTTGGGATCCCCTCTTCAGGTTGGTGAGCAAAGAACTCCGCGAGACCGGAGATCCCACCGCTGCAGCGAAATCCATTGTCAAGGCGGCTTTGTCGGATCCAAGGCAGTATCTTGGCAGGATCTGAGAGCCATTTCAGCCACGCAGCATCGTCATACGATCGAAAGCTAAGCGGCCAGTCCCACCTTGCACCCAGGCAGGACAATGTCACTTGCGTTGTGGCCCTGATTCAGTGAGGGAGCAGCGTGAAGAAAAATCGATGAAACCTGCACTCGGCAGATTGGGTGGCAGGTGAGACGGCAATTGGGTGGGGTCGGGCGGGGCCTTGCACAGGACCGGCCTTGCTTGGGAGGATGTTTGCCCCCTCGATGGAAAGCACACTCCGCGAATAGCTGTCTTGCCTGGAAGCTCCGATGCAAGTAAACTCCCGCTTTTTCCGAGGCAACTCATATCAGCCCTCTGCCTGTCTGAGGAACGGAGCTTCTGCTGCTGATTCAGGCGGCTCTCAGTCCCGCAGAGCTCGCAACTAGTACTAGTAGTCTTCGTCTTCTGTTGAGGAGAATGTTGGCCTCTTCTACAACCTGAGCACGAAGCAGTATCTTCCTTGGCCAGCGAGTGCGAAAGATACCCGTCATGTCCTAAAACCAAGGCCATCACCCAAAAACATGGTCACATGGCCAAGGCGGCGGCCGTCTGCTGTATGACTTCTGATTTTTTCACGTGCAGGAAAGTCACCCATCTGGGTGCATCCGCAAATTATGCGTGACGCTCAGATGTGAGGTGGCACGCAGCAGGTTCACATATACCAGGCTTCGTGCCTGCATCCGTGAAAGCCATTGTGATGCCATCGAGAACCTTGAACCGCCGACTTCAATCAAGCATTGGCAATGACTGTAGGAGTTTACACGGTTACATCGAGAACCGAAGCAAGCAACGAGTAACCTGTCAATATGCCGAGCCTAGTCTGAGCAAGGACAAACCATTGAAACAGCTCTTGCTTGTGGCACCTGCCGGTCACGCTCATGGCCCACGAAGAGGGCGTTGAAGGACGGCGATATTTCTGTGGTATTTGCCGTGCTGCAGTTAGTTCACCCGAGAAAGCACATTCCGCTTCTTCAGGTTGATGGCACCTGGCACGGGAGTGGTCGACTTGAAGGGTCTCGATGATGTTCAGGCATGCTCCCTAAGGCCCCAGAGGGCTCCGCTTGCGAGCACTGCTTGCCTCCTGCCAGGTTCTTGGGTCATGGAACTTCACGCTTCAAGCGGCCCAGACCTCGGCGTAGTTCTCTCCGGTTTGCGAACACGCGCAGCTCTTGGAGGATACACCGCTGTACTGGCTCCGTTGTGGAAGACTAGACAAGTGCTCCAGGGGCAGCGGAAAGTCTGTCTGGTTCCTGATCTGCATCCAATTCGACCGGGCACTTCGTTCCCTCCGCGGCGGATCAGTACCGCAACGTGCAACATGATCTTTTCTGTCACGGGTAAGCAGATGCGATGGGCCTGGGGCTGGCAATCGCAGAAACATCTTCAGTATCTCACTTTTCAAACAGTCTGGTACCACTGTGGTAACAGACTGAGGACTTGGTTCATTCGTTCGCGATGCACGGCGACGCATCCGCCGCACCCGTGGCTCACGCTGGCTCACATTTTGGACGAAAATCGCAGTCGGGCCAGGGGTCCCGGGAACGCCTCTATGCTATGCGATGTTTAGCTTGATGAACCGCGCTCCCGCCACAATCCCCCGCGTATTTTGGGATGTCTTCGAGTAGAAACTGTGCTGCCGTCACGGTCCCGTGCCGGTTTTTGCTTTTGCCCCCAAATCTGGTGATCGTCGTGGTGCTCGTGGTCGTCCTGATGGTCCGCTATCTTTCGACTGTGCATGGTACGTGGTCTTCCACTGTTTGGGATCTCAGCTGGCACGATTTGGTCGGGTCTCTGTGCAGGCGACACGCGACAAGTGTTTGGCAAAGCTAGCTCTTCAGAAGCCTGAGGCAGTTGTCGTTTGCAATCTCTCTTGCAGGGTCGGAAACAAATCCGGAGCCTTATCAAATAGAATTAACGGATACTCGCTGGCATGATCTTAGAGATGCAGGCATCATATGCGACAGCCTTTCCACGAGCAGCGTGGCAAGTCAGCGGCACTTAGCAATTCGACCGCGAACACTGCTGTCCCACTTCCTTTTCGGGCTTACTGTTCATAATTTCAACTCCGACTTGCCTCCCGTTCACAGATTGCCTATCTTGGGAGGTACTTGATGAAGTTTAATGTCCATTCGCCTTGCCCCAGTACTTGTGGCATTGTTCTGCATGCGGAGGACTGGCAGCACCTCTCACCTGCCACCAACCTAGCGCTGGTAGCTGGCACCCAGTTCTTTGCAGGCCGACTTTGGTGGCACGGACGGCAGTTCCTTCTGGATAGAAAGGAGGACTGACACATGCAGAGTGGAGGGCTTGGATGGCAATCAGCACCAGGACTTCTGATGACGGACAGAGAACGAAGCGGTACTTGCTTTCTGGCGATGGCCTCGATTCGAGGCGCGCGCCAATTCAATAATCACTGCTTGTGCAGCTTGCGCCAAGAAGCAGTAACGGTGCTGTGTGGGCGGTGCTGCTGGAAGGCCCATCGTGACCCGCCAATTTCCGGACTCTGGAGATCAACCAGAAGAGATTGAGGTGCTGATGCAAGGCTCCTGCCGTGAAGTGCTGCATACAGGTGCAGGACTCTGAATCGAAACATGTGCTCCTCTTCCAGGCTATTTTGGGGTGATAATGGTGCGACCCTCGGCTGTCGTGAGAGCATGCGGGGACTCTTGATGAGACGGTGGCTGGTCGCATGGCATGGCATGGCCACTATGAGTGTCGACCCTTGCACCCCAGAGGGTTCCTATCCTTTCAAATTGAGCAGCCAAAGACTTGTCTCGACTCAAAGGTTCAAAACCGGAAGGTCCACTTGAAGTTCCGTTGCAAACGCAACAAAGGCAAACCAGCCGTGACTCTTCAGGGTTATGTGATGTTATGTGCAATGCAATCGCGGCGACAGCGCATTTGCCACCCTTGCGGTCAGGTTCAATTGCCTTCTACAACACGACCCAAGGGGAGAAAGACGACGTGCATTTCTCCGAGGCTGCCGGGAGGTTTTGCCACTGTTTTGCTGAGATTTCTACAATTCACGGCCTTTAGGGTTCAGAGGAGTCTTGGAGATGTTCGGGGTTAGCAGCTGTTAGCAGCTTTGGCGGCTGCGCAGGTCCGCATCACGGCTCTTCGGCGCGGTCCCATGGAGATCGGCGGATTCCTCGGCCAACGCGAGCGTCAGATGCTGCAGCCTCGTGCTTCCAGATCTTAGCTCCTTTCCCGTAGCATGACCCCCGGGTGTTCCAAGCTAGGCTTGGCAGAGACAGAGAGGACAACTGACGTGGGTGTAGTGACGTCGATGTTTCTGGATGTCTTGGCGGTGCAGAGCGGAATGAGGGATCCGGGAGAGAGCTTTATGATGTGGTCCTGTTACTTATATCAAGCTTCAGACTACGTGCAGGACCCCTCAGCAACGGTGCAAGATGAAGACAACGTTGGCCTGCGAAGCGAAGATGCAGGTCCTTCCAAAGGCTCTGGCCTCAAGGGCTATTGATCATGGCCTGCACCAGGAAATCCTGGATCGCGTCTGACCACAACCTCTAGACCTACGCCATCTCATCGGCAGGCTTACGACTTGAGAGATCTTGGAGGAGTTCCGCTGCCGTCAAGTGCAGGCTTCCTCAACCCTGTTGAGTCCAAGCTCCACCGGCAAAAGGTTTCGAACCCCCGGGTGCCTGACATTTTGGAAGCAAGCTGCTGTACGATCTGGGATAGCTGCTCCGTAGAAGGTCTCAGCATCAAAGCAGTGACGTCCTCCAAAGGAGTGCGTCGGGCTCTTTGCAATTGCATCTAGCCATGGTCCGAAGCAGGCAGCATTTCGCTCTTGTCGCCATACAGGTCTGACGTCGTGCTGAAGTCCGGTAGCATGAAGTCCACGAGGTTCCCAGATTTTCGCAGCCACGTAGCAAAGCACCGACATGGGAAGATTTGTGTCCCGTGTCAGGTTTGCTTCCACGGGGAAGACGGGGAAGACTGGCCACGCAAGGCGACACAAGCCGCTTGCTCTGAGTGCATGGCCCTGTTTCGCCGATCAGCAAGCTGAGGGGCCAAAGGCTTAGTTCCGAAGTTTCATCTCTGGGGACATCTGGAAGGTGGATCCCTCTTGCCAAGAATGCCCCGGCGAGCGAGAAGCAGCTCATTCGGGACGGGAGCTTTGGGTTATTTCCTGGACCTGTACATCATACAATCAATCTTTGTGTCTATCTCCACCTTCATGTCAATCTCACTTAATGTTTGTCCGCTCCTCCGCATGTCTGTTTTTGTTTGGACATCGTGACACCGCCCGCAGGACTCCATGCCCAAGCTGCCAGCTTCGAAGGAGTCCTGTCAGGCCTGTTTGTGTTCTTCTAGATGTGAATGTGCCATCTTGTGATGCTGGTGCTGTGGTCTGGACCTTGTAGGATTTCATCGCTATGCCGCTTTGAGGATGCAGAATTCACTGCGTAGTCCGGTCGCAGCAAGACTGTCAAACCAAACATCTCGAATGATCGCAAGTTACTGTGTGTTACAATGCACTTGTGAATGTGCGCATGCACCTATCATTGAGCATATGGGCAGTCTCACCCGACGCTAGGTTGTTCTTGTTCCTGTAGTTGCGTGAACCGCAACGGCTTGCACGGCTTCAGTTTCAAGGCTAAGCCTTGACAGCTCGAGACGCACAGAATGCATTTCGCAAATCGCCTCCGTCAGATGCAGACTTTGTCCGACTCTGCCATTCATTACGAGCTCTGTGCTGGCTTCGCAGCTGCCCGACAATCGGAATACAATCGGCATGCTACCTGCAACAGGATAACCGACGGTTCAGGGGTCCCACGGACGAAGCCTTAAGGAGTAGCTTTTTCGGATTTTGGTTTTGGCTATTACCAACTTGAATAGCTTTCGTGGCCCTTGCCGAGAGCGCTTCTTTGCTGGGCCATGGTCCCTTTCCTGCCACCTGGCTGCAGTCATCTGCCGTTCCAGCACATCTGGACACTCTCAGCTGCTTGAAGCTTAGGGGATCTTCAAGCGCAGACGGGATCAATACGTACACGGCTATTGAACCACCGAAGCCCGAGTTCTCAATATTTGCAGCTCGGCGAGAGTATGAAAAGGGGAGCGGAAGTAGCAGCTGGCCATGTCAGGATTGGCTGGGAGTGTGCTGCTCGGAGCAGCCTTCCAGAAATCTGGACCGGTGCAGCACTCGCTTTTTAGCTTGGTCACCATGATGTGGCTTGACCAACGCCTCCGGCAGGACTATCGCCTTCGACAGCGGGAGGAAACCATCATTGGACAGCTCCAGCAGGAGGCAAACGACAAGAGGAACCAAGATAGGACGTCGATCCAGCATGACCTCGTCATATGTGCTAGAGTCTGCGAGAGCTTTCCAGCAGTGGAAGCTATGGCAGGTGCTGGTGTCTTTCGATCCAGGTGCGATGGACTCTTGGCAGATTCTCAGATTGAGCATCTCCTGTTCATTACATTCAGCCGGCCACGGCTCTTGCTGGACGGCTATCTTATGCTGCTTAGTGCGGTCTTGTGCTTGTGTCTGAGCTGCTTCAGCACATAGCTTTGCACGTTTGCAGCCCAGGAGCATGAGGCATCTGGATTGTCCTCGCATGGATCTGCTCGACGTGCGTGTCCCCTGCTGGCTTTGTGCAGGCGCTCTTGCAGGAATACTTCAAGGTATCGGAGCTTTTGCAATCGAGTCCGTTCTGTGGCACGTGTTTCAGGTTTTTGCACTGCTTGTGGTGTGTAGGCAGCAGCGCCTGCACTCTCGCCGCTGGAGAAGAACCGTTCCTTGATCGAGAAGCTCCCGGAAGGTCCAGCGGGAGCCTGGAAAATGGCACGTAAGACCTGCTCGAGCTTGTGAAAGCCACAGGGCGGCGGGATCAAAGATGGAAGGAGCTGGGCTTCCAGGATGAGGACTCATGCAGATTTCACTCGTGATCACTCGTACTACCTGAGCTGCAGGGAATACGGCATGTCCGCCCGACAGTCCGACAGGATCCACGCACCGACTTCCGAGGTGGCGGTTTGCTTTCCTTGAAATGCTTGTCGGCTCCCCAGTGCGAAGGAACTTGCGAGTAGGGTCACTATGGCCGAGGCTTAGGCCTTTCTTGCCAGTCCTGGTTAAGTGTGTGCCGTTCAATCCGGCAAGGATATGCAAGGATGCAACGTATCTGGGTATGAGGAGAGATTTCGGGGCTGTACTGTTGCAGACTCTTGGGAACCACAGGTTGGCGTGAATCAGTTCAGGATCTGACTCAGCCAGAACCCTTTGAACTTTGGAGACAGACTCAAGTCATCTCATCACCGCAATCTGTGGTATCGCTGGTATATGCTGGTATCATCAGTCACAGCTCACAGGAAGAGGCGTCCAGCCCGAAGATATGGTCTTGTCCACGAGTCTCCTCGGTGTGAAAACATGCTTCTACCGCAAGTTCGAGAGTAGTAGTCTACTGGGCTTGAGTGTCCACGCTTATGCGACAAGCCGTCGGCCCGTTGCGCTCGTATCTCCCAGCTGCAACAGCGGTCAGACCACTTCGGCGAACTGTGGTGCTGTGCCCGTCACTGCGTTGTGTGTGTGTGTGCGCGCACGCGAGCGCTGCATTGTTGTCAGGCTGGCTAATAAGCTTAGGTGGCGACGAGATTTTGAATGTTGTTGATTTCGCACGATGTGCAGAAGCTACTTGTACCAATGTACGAAGACAAGACCTTTGCCATTATTGCGTGCCTTTCACATTCTGACACATTACGTAACTGCACATCGGCTGTGTCTGCCGCTGCTTCCATGTGCAAGTGCTAGAGAGGGTTTCTGGGCAGGTTGCACATGACAGAGCACGATTCGTCGGAGTCCTGGAAGAGCCAGCATCATGCTTGGGTGTTTCTCTAGGTTGCCTTGTTGTCGAGGAAGAGAGTGTGCCAGCTGATTCGTGAAAGTTCGGGAGCTGGGTGCCGTGACAGCATTTGTCCATAAACGTGTCACTTTAAAGTCTTATGGTTCACACATCTTTGATTATGTAGCCTGCGTGCATGGAGGCAAAAAGATGAAGGGACTTTCTATCCATTCGCAGCCGCACCTCAGCAGCAGAGGGGCTTGGGAATACAAGACGGTTCACATGCGATGAAACATACCTGGCTGAACGCATGCTGCAGCTGTCCAATCGTAGGCAATGTGTGGCATCCCCTACTAGTACTTATTGAGCCTGCTGGGTGATGTGTCCTCTCGCCGTCTCGGCGCCCCCTTTCTTGCACGGCCATTCGGCAGGCCGTGATCAACGTCTGCTTCAGATTGTCGTGGATCCAAGCGTTTCATTTTGTGGGATCACGGGATCCAAGCGAGAAGCGAGCTCTCGCGTCTCCTCCGAGGGCCGGCTGGTTGATGCTGGATTTACGACGTGCCCGCCAGGCCGGGCGATCCGGGCGGCCTCGACTTCAGTCAGTGAGAATCTGAAGCGTGGCGCTGCAGGTCAAGGCGGAGGATGTTTGCCGGGCAGCTCGGAGGTCTGCAAAGAATACAAGTATCCCGAAAAGAGCATGAGGCACCGGATTTGAATATCGACGATTTGCGGAGTTGACAGTTCTTGAGTGGGAAGCCCAGCTTACTTGGATTAGGAAGCCAGCACGTATGAGTGCATAAACGGAGCCTGACACCGAGGCCGGAGACGTTTCTACTTCTCGCCACATCTGCCGTTGTGGCTGTGCATGAGGTCCTTCCGTCCATTGGGCAGCTTGGCTTCCTGCTGTGCTTGAGTGTGTGCTGCTAGGAGTGGCGCACCAATCTGTATTCCGTACTTCAGTCCCGTCCACAGCTGTCCAGGACAGTCCGGACAGGAAGAATAAACATGCAACTGTGCAGGTTTTCCCGATGCGTGGATGCAGCAATGAAGAGGGTGTCTCTATTCCTTGTGCAGACTACAAAGGAGTCCTGCTGTGAAAGGTGTGCAAAATGATAGTAATTCTGCAGCCCAAGATGCATGTCATGTCACGGCTAGGAGCCTGCAGACAAAGCACTGGCGCGCTTACGTAACACGTGGACCTTGCAACTTGGACTAAAGGGGAAGGGGATTTGGGTTTTCGGCTAATGTAGCATACAGGTGGCAGTACATGTCTCCTAAATTCTACTTGTAGGTCTGTTTATCGCGTTGCGAGTGATTTGCAGGCCGGAGCTTGCTGCAACGACGAAGATATGAGGCTCACGACCTGTCCTGACCCAGCATGCCTGACATTTGGATGCAGCCAGGCTTTCCCATGGGCAGTTCGTAAAGACTGGCAAGATCTTCCAATACTGCACTGATCTCACGCCGGCCTCAGTGCACAAGCATTCAGGCGCAAATCGTTTCATTCCCTCGGGTCTTACGGTCGTGTGATGCAAGTTTGCAACTTACGAGCAACCCTTCCGTGTGTACCTAACCAACAGTGGATGTCTGCGGCACAGGGATGCAAAGACATCACAGTCACCAGCGCCTTCGCGTTGCCCACAGTAGTCACAGTAGCCCTTCGTTTTGTCGGGAAGGGTGGCCAAGCCTCCCTTCTTGACGTAAAGCATCTGTGGCTCCCGCGCAGTCGTTTCATACCTGGCTCCCAAAAAGAGGAATCATCGAGTCTATGACTCCATGACAGCGAAGTCCCTTCATCTCTGCTCTAGGCAACTGTCGCCCCCAGGTCTTTGGCAGCTCTGGCCTGGGTCAACTGGACATCTTTGGCATCCAAGATCAGAAGAATTGCTGCTTCCTCTGAAGTCCAAGCAGATCGACACATTCTCGAAAGCATCTCTTGAAACTGCTGGTCAATGAGTTAGCCCTTGCAGCTTGAGGTCAGACTCTAACATTGGATGTTCTCGACTCAGTTTCAAGCTGCTGATGGTTTTGTTCAGACGCTGCTTCTTCGTGCATGCTTTCGGCGCTGTTGCGCGTCGTGGCCCGCAGTTAACAACGGCAAAGGATACAGCGCAGGTTCATGGACTCCTTGCAACTGTGTGTTTTGCTGTCATGTGGCATTGCCATTGCCCAAGAACATCGGCCGGTACATCCGGTCATATGAGCTCATGATTGAAGCTGCCGTCTGTGTCGCAGCTCCAAGGGCGTGACTGTGTCCATTTGTCAAGCAGGCCGGAGCGAAAGTAGCTAAAGCTTTTGCGTTTTCGTCAAGCTGAAGTGCTGCAGTGTCAAGTTGTACCACAGACAGTTGAGTACAGCGGCATGCTGTGATCAGGTGCGGGTCGGGCCCTAGTAGCCGCTGAGACGTCAGTGACCTGCTTGAGCCCAATTCCGTTTGAGAAACAGGCTGCGGATGCTTGTCAACGTGGCAATCTGCTTTGTTGCGTTTCCCGCTTCACCCCGGTTTGAGACGGGGACCGTGTAGAGGTAAAGAAGCTGCTCTTGCAAGCCGAGCTCCCAGCTCCTGCATCTGCGTGTGTGTGTGTGTGTTACCTTATTACCTCGTACTAAAGTCTACCTAGGCCTTCGCACAACTTCGTCGCTCCTGCTGGTAGTTGCCGTCAGGTCCGCATCAATGATGCTCGAGAACTCATCACTGCCACATATGGTGCCGAACTGAGTGTGAAGCATGGCATGCGCCCCTTAGAAGCTTCAACGTGCAGCAACGGCGGCCCAGGTCCAGAGGACCCCGAGAGACAACTGCAGCTGCAGCGATTTCAAAGACTCGCCGGTTGGGTTTCTCCCTTACCGTTGCTTGCCGTTGCCTTGGTAGGCCAGACCAAAGAACGCGCACCTTTTTGACCCAGACTGGTTCATCGACTTGAATTTGCCAAGGCATTATTCAGGGACCTGCAGTTTCTGCAGGCTTTTGAGCACTTCATGTGCCCACGAATCTTGTTCTGCCTTTGTAGCATAGGAGTGGTCAACTAACCTGTTCTCGTGAGGTACTGTGTCGATTTTCGAGTGGACCAGGTGTTGATGTTTTGGGGCGCCAAGCCTATCTAGTGCCGTCTATGTTGTTGGTCTCCACGATTCAGGCAATGTTGCTGAGTCGTGAGGCTGCCTTGCCAAGCATAGCAGCAAAGGTCGCCACCTACCAGCAGGATGGGAGCCAGCTACCTCGAGGCAATGTGCAGAGAAAGAGACGAATACTGGCTGAGTCGTTCCTGTAAGTTCGGTGACTTTCAGGTCCTGCCACAATCCTCAGCACGGCCACGCCTTGCAGCAGTTTTCCAACAACCTTGTACTTGCCTGTGCTTGTAGCGGCGCCTGGCAAACAACCGATACATAAATGTGTGGACGGAGCTGGAACACTCACTATCCAGCGATGCGAATAGCGGAAGGGGGGGGGAGTTGACCACTCTAAGCAGAGGGGCGGGGGGGGTCACTGGGAGGGAATGAAAAAGGAGTGGAACCAGGGAGTCTGTGCGGGAACCTCTGACCGCTTCGGCCGGGGCCGAGGCAGATTCAATATTCATCAATATTCGGTATTCTTGTGTAGGATCAGAGGTGCAGCCCTGTAAAGAGCCGCACTGAATGCATTCGGCATCTGCCAAGCACGGCACCGGCAGGGCACGTCTCTCAAGCAGAGCTCTAGCAAAGAAATGGACCGTTTGCGACATTGACTGGACAAGGCACTTCAAAGGTGTTGATGGAAAGACGGTGGACAGTCAGTGGCTCTTGAATCCCATGATCCCATGCTGAAGATAGCTGAAGTTCAACGTGAAATTTCAAGAGCCCAGGTGCACTGTTCCGAAACAAGGAGGATCGACATTGTTGGCTTCTATCACTTCGGACAGGGATCCAAACGAGTAGAAATGTCAACCTGGGTATTGTTACAAGCTTCGTACTGCAAAACTGGCCACAGACGAACTGATCCGTTCGAGAATCGGCTTGCTCGTGTCATTTCGCTTCCTTTTGAGTAGTTGGCTTAAGTTTTCCCTTCCGTGTTGGTCTTCGGGATGCATTGCGCGCAGCATAAGGGCATCAGTTGCAAGATTTTCTTTTCTTGCATCGGCCTCCCAACCCTGATGCCACTCGTCAGTCAGGCACGAAGATGATGGGTCTCCCGAGCACATGGCCCAGGGGAAGCATTCTTCAAGCTGGGATGCAAAGTAGTTTCCGACGAGGCCAGTTGACATCATGGACTTTGTCCGCAGAAGACTTGCAGAACGACAGCCACCAGAGGCGCCGAACATACCGAGTCCCGCTGCTGCATTCCCAAGCACTTCACTAGCGCACACACACCAAGGCCGGTGATGCTGCAGTGTCAGCAAATGTTGGCTTGGCCAATGCAGCCGGGGTCTCGAGGAAGCTTTTCAGTCTTTCACGCAATAGTCAAGTGACAGCATGCGTCTGCATGTCTCTGCTGGCCGTTCACAATTTGAAGAAGCACGAGGAGAACGCTTGGATGCTAGGGCCTGCTAGGGCAGCTGCTCGTGTTTGGCACTTCTGATCGGTGCGCTGAAGTCCTGCAGCCATCTCGCCAAGCACCGCGGGGTGGAGTTCGTAGGGCCAGGTGGCAAGCATGGGTCTTTGCGGAGGCCCATGGCATTGTTTCGAATTATGCTTCATGACGTTGCATTGTGCCGGTTCCATCTCCCTTCAACAAGTTTCCTGGAAGATGACATCGACTTGCCGAGATGCTGTAGTGACTGTAGTGACTGTAGTGCTTCGCTGTATCTTCGATGGCTGCAGGGAAGTCGGCCGGTCCAGCACAAAGCCCACCGCCAAAGACAAGAGATTCCAGCGCCATCAAGAAAGAAGTCAAGGCAGCTTTTTCTCCACCCTCTTGCGTATTCACTGATCTCTGCATAGTCTTCGCATGCTGCGCCTCGCTGCAGCCCTGCACATGTTACCAGTAGCCAAACAGGATGGTGGAATCGGCTATGCGCAGTTCATCATCGAGAACACGGGCAAGATCACAGAACACTACCAGTTGGTCCGCATGCTGCTGCTTCCAGCAAGATTCAACAAGCTGTGCCATGCCCTGCAGGACAAGAAAAAGCTCGGAGAGGGTTCCTATGGCTCAGTCACCAAGGCTACCAACATCTCCACCAAGGCAGGATCGCAAACATGTTCCACAGTGAGAATGCGACAAAGATACGCAGATGTGGTCTGATCAGGCCATCAGAGCAGTCAAGACAATATCAAAGACTCAGATGAAAAACATTGAGCGTTTCAAGCAGGCGCTTCGGTCATGTGTGTATGCCTGGGACGGCAAGCATGTCGGAATGTGCGGGGCTGACCCAGGAGATTGCCATCATGAAGATGATGGATCATCCGAACATCATCAAACTGTATGAGTCGTTTGAGGATATCAGGCGTCACGCTCAACAGCTGTTGTTCGAGTTCAGTCCATCGGCAAAGAAGTTTACAAAAGGAACATTTACCTCGTCATGGAGCTGTGCGCCGGTGGCGAGCTTTTTGATCGGATCATTGAGTCTGGCCATTTCTCGGAGGCCATGCTGGAAGCAGCACTGTGGCAATTGTGTTGCCTTCGTTAATTCAGATGTCCTGCAGGTCCAAGCAGCTATACTGATGCAGCAGATCATCCGCCCCGATCTGAGTTGGCGATTTCAATCTCGCTAGAAGGATGCACCCACGAAGATTCCTGATTCGCTTCATCGCGAGTTCTATCTGCGCTGCTCTTCTTTCGTTCCTACACTGCCAGGGGAGTAATTTCAGTGATTAGTTGTGCTTGCAGCGACTACTACTCACACGTCAGCTCGATCATGTTGACATTTATGGGAGGTGCGATCTACTACATGCACGAGAACCACATTTGCCATCGTGACCTAAAGCCAGAGAATTTCCTTTTCATGACCAAGGAGGGGATCATGAAGCACCGACTTTCATGATATCCTCTGCTCTTGCTAGCTCGCTTTGCCAGGATCCCATTGAGAAAAACTTTCTCAAGATCATTGATTTTGGACTCTCTTGCAAGTTCAGCCCGGACCAGGTGACATCTGCATAAGGCAAAGTGTACTTGTAATTGCAGATTGGGAAAAGTTCTGGTGGCAAGGCTCTCACAACGAAAGCTGGGACGCCTTACTACGTGGCGCCGCAGGCTGGAAATGGAAAGCCGGACTAAGTGTCGATGAGTTAGGGAAGACCTGCTGTTGAAGCATGGATTGCCTGTCAGGTCCTAGCTGGCAAGTACGACCAGCAGTGTGATATCTGGAGCTGTGGTGTGATCATGTATGTGCCTGTGGCCGTGAGTGATGCATATTAGAGCCCAAGCTTGTCAGGTTGTTTCTGCATTTCGAAGCACAGGTGCTGCTGTGTGGATATCCGCCTTTTTTCGGTGACACTGATGCAGACGTACTTGCAAAGGCCAGCCGAGACAGTGCAGGTGATTTGGGACTCGTCAGCATGCGAGCATGGCGAGGTCCGACTCGGCAACTTCAACTTCAATCCGGCAGACTGGAAGAACGTGCCGAGCGCCCAGCAAAGTGCTGTTAAGGGAAGCGAATGCTGGGATGATTTGCTCTGTCAGACTCCTTCCATCCAGGTCTGACGACGCGAAAAACCTAATCCGGTGGATGTTGAAGATGAATCCTCGTGACCGATATACAGCTGAGCGGCTTGGCAACAACTGGCTGTCGCCGGTGTCAGGCGTTGGAGCGTGTAGGATACGTACGTAGACAGTCAGTTTTGTATTCAGGATGCTCTCTAGATCTAGAGCGGTTGCCACGAACTTGACACCAGCACTGATCACTAACAACTCTTGAGGGTTTACTGCAATGGCTTTTCTCCACCAGCCTAGTCACAGAAGCCTCAGGGACGGGCGGTGTGCTTTCGACGGAATGTGCGGGCTTTCAGGGAGAGTCAAGGCACGCAGTCTTGATGATCACGGCCCAGACACCTGTGCCAGTTGGAAGCTTTCGGGCCTGACCAACAAGCACGGGAGAAGAGAGCATGCAACAACGACAACTGACACGCAGGTCATGGCCCCACAAGTCCGAACAGAACCTACTACTACTACTACTACTACTACGACTACTACGACTACTAGTACTACTACTACTACTACTATTACTAC